TGTTTGGACTGGGACTGAAACTGTTAGGCCTTATGCCCAGAAGGCAGCATGTTTAGACCTTGGAAATCATGAATTTTGTTCATTATTTGCCCAACTCCTGTAAAAATGACCCCAAAGCAGGGAATGATAGTGACTATATGATAAAAGGTAGAAGAGTCCCCAAAATACACTGGTTAATATTGAGTATTGTTAACTGGTCAAAACAGGACTCATAATGCATTCATAAACCAACTAGGAAGAAAAGACACATACTCTGAAAAAGTGAGTAATAATAAAATGTTTTGTAACCACTGACAAAAATAGAACAGAGCTATGTCACAAAATAGAACATATTTAATCGCCGATGGAAAATTATTACAAGAGAGAAACAATTACAAAATACTTTTATTATCTTTATGTAGCAAAAAAGAGTATCCCATAATATGTGTGTGTGTGTGTGTGTGTGTGTGTGTACACTTAATTAATCCAAGTTAATGGACTTTGGGGTTGCTTCCACTTTGGGCTACTAAGCTGTTGCCAGTGAACATTTGTGTATGTTTTGGGTGGACATATTTTCATTTCTCCTCAGAAATGAAATACTCAGACGTGGAATGTTCTGGGTTATATGGTTAGGCTTATGTTTTAACATATTAAGAAACTGCTGAAATATTTTCTGAATCAGTTGTATCTTTCACGGTCTCATCATTGCACAGAAGTGGGTTCCCCTCTTCTGCCAGTCTGATTGCTGCTCTTGGTGGACGATAAGCTGTGCTGCATCGTCTTCAGCTTCCTTTTCCCATGACTTCTCGTGTTGAGCATCTTTCATGGGATCACTAGGCTATTTGGGCATCTCCTCTGGTGATATCTTTCAAATCTTTGTAATTGGGTTGCTTGTCTTATTCTTGAATTGTAAGAGTTCTTTGTATGTTCTGGACACAAGTTCTCAGAAATAATTTGCAAATATTTTCACCAGTCTGTGCCTTATATTTTTATTTTTCTTTCTGGTATCTTTTTATAATAATTTTATTAAAATACAATTCATATACCATACAATTTGCCATTTTAAAGTGTAAATTTAGTTTTTAATGTATTCACCAAGTAGTACAATCATTATTAACATCAATTTTAGAAACACTTTGTCAGCCTCATAAAGAAAGCTCACACTCATTTGATAGTTATTTCTCATTGTTAAAATACCCTACATCAGATAACCACTAATCTATCTGTTGTCTATCTCTATGGATTTGCCAGTGCTGAGCATTTCACATAAGTGGAGTCATACAATATTGATCTTTTGTGATTGGCTTCTTCAACTTAGCAAAATATTTTCAAGTTTCATTCATGTTATAACTCCTATCAGTATTTCATTCCTTTCTATTGCCAAATAATATTCCATTGTATGGGTACATCACACTTTATTCCATTCATTCATTGCTTGGTGGACATTTGAGTTGCTTCCAGTTTTTGACTGTTGAATAATGCTGCTGTGAACATTTGGATACAGATTTTTATGGGAACATATGTTTTTGTTTCTCTTGGATATCTATCTAGGAGTGGAATTGCTGGTCATATGGTACCCAAAGTTTAACCTTTGGAGGAACTGCTAGGCTGTTTTCCTAAGCAGCCTGTCCATTTTACATTTCTACTGCTGTGGGGGCGGGGAGGGGTCCAATCTCTCTACCTCTTGTTATTCCTGTCTATTTTACAATAGACAGGTGTCTCGTTGTGGCTTTAATTTGCATTTCCCCTACTGTCTAGAATGTCAAACATCTTTTCACATGCCTGTGGGACATTTATGCGTCTTCTGTGGAGAAATGTCTACTCGGATCCTTTGCACATGTGACAATTAGGCGATTTGTCCTTTTATTCCTGAGTTGTAGGAGTTATTTGTATGTACCAAATACAGGACCTTTACCAGATATATAATTTCAAGATTTTTCTCCCTTCATGTGGGTCTTTTCATTTTTTTGTTGTTTTTGTCATTTTTTGGCACTGGGGACTAAACTCAGGGCTTTGTGTGTGCTAGTTCTCTGCCACTTCAGTCACACTCCCAACCCTCTTGCTTTTAGTTAATGTTTCGGATAGGATCTCACTAACTTTTGCCAGACTAAAATCCCCCATCTCTGCTTCCCAAGTAGCCACCACACGTGGCCCATCTTTTCATTTTCATCGTGTCCTTTGAAGCACAAAAGAATTTAAATTTGATTATGTTTAATTTGTCTTTTTTGTTTTGTTTTAGAGTTTATACTTTTGGTGTCATTTCCTAAAAGTCATTGCCTAATCCAAGGTCATAAAACTTTCCCCCATGCTGTTGTCTAAGAGTTTTATACTTCCTACTTTCACATTAGGTAGTTGATCCATTTTGAATTGATTTGTCCATATGGGATTTAATAGTGTATTTTGGAGAGCTAAAGTTTTTTTTTTTTAAGATAAAAACTGTACATTTTGGGGGATACACTGTGGTGTGTCAGTACATTTAACATTGTGTATCTGTCAACTTAGGCTATCCATCATTGTAAGCATTTATCATTTCTTACAAAAACATTCAAAATCCTCTTGTAGCTGTTTTAGCAAAAGTTTTTAATTTTGACAAAAACCAGTTTTTCAGTTTTTTCTTTTACATTTCTTGGTTCTAGAGGCAGAAATAGGGAGATTCAAGGCCAGCCCAGGGAAAAAGTTCACGAAACCCCATCTTAACCAAAGGCTGGATATAGTGGCACCTACCTGTCTTTCCAGCTACACAAGGAAGAACGAATAGGAGGATCCAGGTCCAAGCTGACCTGGGTGTAAAGTGAGGGCCTGTCCCAAAAACAGCCAATGTAAAAAGGACTGGCAGAGTGGCTCAAGTGGCAGAACACCTGCCTAGCAAGTGCTAAGGCCCTGAGTTCAACCCCTGCAGTACTACCAAAAAAAAAAAGAACCAGGGTCTTACACCAATAATGATAGCTACTCAGGAGGCAGAGATCAGGAGGATCACAGTTCGAAGCCAGACCAGGCAAATAGTTCACAAGACCTTATCTTGAAAATTCCTTCACAAAAAAAGGACTGGTGGAGCAACTTAACTTAGTGAAGGCTCTGAGTTCAAACTTTAGTACTGCAAACAAACAAACAAACAAAAAAACCCTAAGATATCTCTACCTAACCCAAGGCCCCAGATTTTTATTATTTTTTTGTTAAGGCATTGCTGATTGAATTTAGGGTCTTGTGCTTGCCAGGCAAGCACTCTACCACTTGAACCATGCCCCCCGTCCTAGATTTTTTTTTTCTTTATGGTTTGAGAAATTTTGTTGCTTTAGCTCTTACTAACCATAAGAGCTATGTTTCATTTTTGAAGGTTCTTTTGGGGGGGAGGATTAATATGGTGTGAGGTAAAGGTCTAAGTTCACATTTATGTGTATTGTAGATTACTCTATCATTTAGTATGCTCAATGATAAAAGCAAATTGCAAAATATTATTTGCAGTACCGTACCATTCATGCAAAATTAAAAAGCATAGATATATGTTATTCAGTTATACATGTGCACATATTAAAAAGTTTAACTCCAAAATCTCATAAAGAAAAGAGGAAGCCTCTGAAGGGAAAAGAGGAAGGAGCTGGAGCTGGAAAGAAAAGGTCTTCAGATTTATCTGCACTGTTTCTAGGTTGAAATAAACTTGACACAGTATTAATAACTTCATTTGTGGTTGCTTCTGATGTTATACCTTTTAGTTTTATGAAATTTTTTTATTTCTCAAAACAAACATACACACACAATTCAGATAAGAACCACAGAGAGCCAGGCATGCTGGCACAATCCCGTAATCCAAGCACTCAGGAGACTTAGGCAGGACCCTGTGTAAGGAAGCAAATAAACAACAAATAGGAACCAGAGAGAGCAGACCATTTCTTCCATTCATCGCCCACATGCTGCAGTACTAAGGTGATGTGTTGTGCGCACAGTCTCCCAGCCTGTGGGAGATTCTCTCTGTAGGGTTGCTGAGCTGTAGCCCATTCTAATACTTTGGCTTATATTTTCCTAGTTTTGCTTACACAGAAAACCAGTCTCTATGCCACACCAATTCCCCTGGCTCTGACGAGCAGCAGAGCAGGACTGGTGGAGTGGCTCAAGTGGTAGAGTGCCTGCCTAGCAAGCATGAGGCCCTGAGTTCGAATCCCAGTCCCACAAAAAAAAAGAGAAAAAACCACCATGCAGCAGAGCCACAGGCTCTGGGAATTGCCTTTGACTGGAGTTTCCTTCTTCTACTTATTTTATCCCATTGCTTCTTTAAAACTATGCCAGGCCTTCACAAGAGAAGTTAGCCTCCTATTTAACATGTGGCCATTCTCATCTGGTCCCCAGAGGTGCACATGACAGACCTCACTAGAACAGGTACAATGTGACAGTCCTGCTGACCTAGTCCATGGAAAGCACCCTGCAGCTGAGCTCCTAACCCACAACTCAGGAGTGCCTCTGAAGGTGGGAGCTGCTGCCTAGACAAAGGCTGCTGCACTTGGAGCCTCGGGGTTGTTCCAGCATCCGCCTCTGGCAAGCTGGACAGCCTTACAGCCTCCTAGGCTCTCGTACAGCCTCTTGCATGCTCTTGGCTCTTTTCTCTCCTTTCTTCTGTAAAATTCATATAAAAACATACATGCTTTCTACCCCCAGGTTCTTGGGCAATGAGAATGTGTGTGAATGTGCCTACACACATGAGGCTGTCTGTGTGTTAGTTCTCCCTAGTGGGAGTCGACCCCTGCTAGATCCTAAAGTCAGCTGCTCTGCCCAGTCTGTCCACCTGAAGGCTTTGCCTCCGCTGCTGGCTGCCTCTTTTCCTACCATTCTTAGCCTGTCCTTATGTTGCTCTCTCTCCCTTCCTCTCTTGACCCATTCCTTCTTCCTTTTCTCCCTTTCCCCAGGACCGGCTGGCTCCTTCTTTTCAAACATGATCATGTGTCATGGTTCAAACTGACTGAGAAGGGCTTCCCTCTTCCTTAAAGAGGCCAGACACTTGAGGTGACATGTTTGCTCTCTGATCCTTCCAGGCTCAGGCCACAGGATCACCGCACACATCACCCACCCACGGAGGTGTCCGCCCCATGCCCATGCCTGTCCGCTCCGTATCTGCTGGCTCCACCCCCACCCACTGCCCACAGGACTCGCCAAGCGGAGTTGGGGGAGATGTGCAGGAGGCCTTTGCACAAGGTGAGTTCCTAGGCTGAGTCTAATAGGGAGCTGATAAGGTCAGAGCATGTACAAGATTGCTGTTGAGATTTTTTTTCTGGTTCCTTACATTTTGTGTGCTGGCCTTTGATATCAGATTTATGGGATAAGTAAGTCATGTACTGGCCCCATCTCAGTAGGTGGGCAGATCTTCAGTTGGAGGGAGGTTTGCAGGCTTCATATTGTGCAGAGAACAGGCCTCCTGGCTTCTGTGCTCTCTGCCCTGAGTTAAGGGAAGAACCTGGCCCTTTGGGCTTCGCTTCCTCCAGAGGAACTGAATGGAATAACCCAAAGTCATGCACTTGGCCTAGAAGGTCTGTAGAAGAAGCAAAAGCAGGAAGAATGGTACTAGACATAGGGCCGCTGAAGGTCAGTCAGCAGGTAGTTGCCACAGGGGCCTGCAGTCTTAGTAATGGGGAAGGAAGTCTTGAGCTGGCTCAAGACACAAGCAGGAGGAGGTGGTGGTATTGGAGAATTAAACCCCCTAAGGCTGCTGGGCACCTCAGGTGAGGGAGGTTCTGGAATCCCACTTTTTTTGGTACAGTGGCCATTTGAAGTGTGGACCTGACACAGAACCCTACTCTCCAGATAGAGAAGACAGATGGTGTAGGAACAGTGGGTTTCCGATGTATGGGGAGCAGGTGGAGCTGTGCCGGCCCCATCTCCCCTTAGCTGTTCTGCACCTGGGTCCCAAGTCATCTGCTGGGTTCTCCTCTCTGTGCCCACCCACCCTGCATCGCCATCTGCTCTCACTCTCCTCAGGTACGAGGAGAAACCTCCGCAATGACCTGCTGGTGGCTGCTGACTCCATCACCAACACCATGTCATCCCTGGTGAAGGAGCTCCATTCAGGTGAAACCCAGGGCTCCCCACTGGCCTCCATCCCCTTCCTCCATGCCCTTGCCCACCTCACCTCCTCCCTGCACTGGCAGAAGGTCATCACAGGCACACACTGTCATTTCACTGCACAGTTTTGCATTCCAGGAACACAGGTGATCTTCACCCAGCGTGGTTCCTTCCCACCCGTGATCACAGAGGGACAATTACACATTTAGATTTATCTTAAGAATATGTCTGCTGGAGAAAATGCAATTCTGAATTCTGAATTCAGCTCTGCAGCACAGCCAGAAAATTCAGTTCTGAATTCTGAATTCACTCACTTTTCTCCTGTCTGCGATCCGTCCACAGTGGCTCTCTAGCTGACCACCGGCTCACTCTGAAGCTTCCCAGATGCTACAGCAAGTCAGCACCTCCATGCCGGGCCTTCTCCTCCTGCCCTCTGCTCTCTCCTATTTGTTTCAGTTTTGAAATCCTGTCCTCTCCTCTCCTTTTATTCATGACCAGGCTCTGATTTCACCTGAAGTTCGTCACCTGCTGCTTCCTTCGCTCTTCATGTTGAGTCTTACCTGACCTCTTTTCTCCATCTCTCTCACTTAGCCACTGCAGTGCCTTCCCAGAGACGTCTGCCTCGAGGCCTTTTCCTTTTCTGTTAAACCCAGGAAAGACAAAACCAAAGCCTTTGGGGAGCCATCACCCCCACAATTTCCATCAGTAATGAAGCCACCCAACACTTACAAGTTGTTTTCCAGCGGTGGGATTCCCATGTGACACGTTAGAAGTGAATTCCCTTCCTGAGTGCTTTGGTTCCTTACACCAAAGGCACATCTCTTTCCCCTGTCAACTAACACAGTGCTTAGCCAGGCTATTAAATAAAAGTCAAAGCAGTTTTCCAGGAGCTATTCAGACACTTTGGAAGGCAAGCCTAGGTGGCTCCCAGCTCAGGTCGGACCAAAGTTCTCTACTCCAGGAGCTTTATCAGGCCCCTCTCCATCTGGCCTGCAGAAGCACAGCCCCTCTCCATGCACACACATAAACTAGAGAGGTGATGGTTTTGGGGATGCCTTCACAGCTGATTACAAAGTCCCTCCCCAATGTAGCTTCCTAACAGGCCTCCCTCCCACTTTTAGAGGGAATTTCTTAGGGGAGTTTAGGAAATGAAGTACACTTGTGCATTGTGGCCACTTGTTAGGGCTTATGCAAAAGAAGTGGCTTGCGTTCAGCACAGTAAGATAAGAATGTGATGCAGTTGAAAGTAACTGAGCCTCAGTAAACAAAAAGCATAGAGGCCAAATGTCTTCACAAAAGTTAAATGTTTATAGGGGCACTCAGCAGTGTTTCATAATAAGAAAGGATTGTTTTAACAAAATTATGTAATGTCATTTACAAGGTACATGAGAACACATTGTCCAGCCCCTTAATTTACAAATGTGGTAAGTGATTCTCAGAATACAAAGCCAGTGCTCTGAGCCCACCCAGAATGCCTTTCCCTGACGCTCCTCTCTCCCAAGCACTGAAGCCCGCGGGTAGATGTGGACTAAATCCACAGGTGGCATGGCATCCCACACAATGCAGAAATCAGTGTTTTTTACATGAGAAGAGCCAGTTTCTCAGCAAGTGAAAAACCTTACCAACACCAACATATCTTCACTATTTCCTTGACCTTGGCTTCTCAAGGTTTTGTTAGGATGAGTGTAGATATCCAGATTGTCTTTTCATACTCTTTTCAGGGTCCACATGCCACACATACCCATAGCTTATCCTCCCTCACCCTTCAAGAAAAATTTTCACAAATTCCAAAGAGTCCTAGAGGTCCATTAATCCAACTTGCTCCCCAATATTCAAACAGTCTTCTGAATATTTCCAACATGCTCATTCATGATCAGCTGTAATCACTGGAAAGTGCTTCCTTACTGGGGAGCCTTCCTACAGCTCATTTACCCTTGTTCCCCTCTAAAGCTGCCCTGGTCCATCCGGACCCTCCTTTGCAGGTCACCTTCCAAGTGTTTGATGGCAGATAACATGGCTCTTCCTACGTCTTCTCTTCTTTAGGTGACTCTACCCAGTCCCTTCAACCATCCTGAATGTGACCTGATTTTCACTCTACTGTCCTGTTTGGCCAAAGCAGGATGTGGCCCAGTCCTCCAAGGCCCCAATTCAAAGTGAGCATCCAGTGCTGAACACACTGCTGCATATCACAGGGGCTTGTCCCTGTAGAGCACGGGGATCTGTGGCTGCCCTTCAGTGGGCCTCTGAGAAAGCAACCTTACATGGCATTAGCCATTCCTCCTGGTCACTTGGCACAGTACAGTCAGTTTGTTCTCAGCTAAAACCTCTAGTTTCAGTTTAGTCCTTTTTTTTTTTTTTACAGAAGCCAGTATTAATCTAGGTATTCTTCCATCGTATACTTTTATGGTTGCTTTCTTGAACCTGAATGTACGATATCAGGGGTACCTTAGTAGATGTCATCGCCTAAGGAAAACAGGTCCCCCACTCCCTCCCTAATCATCAGAGAAGCTAGTAGCAAGCCAGCAGCAGGTGACTGATACCAGGCTGCTCTGCTTCTTACAACCTCAGGGCTCCCAGGCTCCCATCCAACAATGCTGGGGCATGGACTTCACTGGGCACAGAAGAAGCAAGTTTATGCCCTTTGGAGACTGCAGGCTGTGAGCTGTTGGTCAGTCTCAGTTACCCAACTCACCCTCCTTCCATGCTTGTGCTGGCTGAATGCTTACTGGCCTCCTTGGACTTGTTTTCACAGCAGAGGAAGGTGCAGAGGAAGAAGAAGAGAAGATGCAAAATGGGAAAGACAGAGGTAAAGGCAGCTGAGCAGGACCCCTAGTTTGAATGGGAGCCTGAACTATAGAGCCCTTAGAAGCCATCATCCTCCCGCTTTGTTTCTGCCCTCCTTCCTGCTGTACCTTCCCCATACCTGCAGCCCTTATATTTCCTTCTGTCTGCTTTTTCAGCTTACAGCCAGGGGTTACCTACAGGTAATAACAGTTGATCAACACAGGCTTCCTGATCTCCTGATACCCTGTTAGATGTTAGGGATTCAGGAAGTAGATTCAAGCAAGACACAAAACATGACCCCCTTGCTTCAAGGAGGTGATAATCTAGTTAGGAAAGCAAGACCAAGGTATGCAAAGTAAGTGGGAGATAAAATGAAGCAGCAGAAAAATTAATCGTAAACTGGAATGTATAATAATAATCGTGTCTGAAATGCAAGAGATTGTCATAGACTGGAATAGCCAAATGGCTTTGCAGCTTCCTGGAAGATTGAAAGCAAGAAAGAAACATGTCAACAAGGGACAGTAATACTTTCCTAGTTTTCTTATGCATAAAACCTATTTAATGCTTGTTATGTGGGAAGAGTACTATGGTCAATGATTTTCACGTATAATCTTATTTTAGCAGCCTAATTGGCAATAGGAAATAGGCTCTGAGGGACTGTCATGGAGTTCCTGAAGGGCAGGGTTGGCCATGAATTGGGTCTTTCTGACTCGACTTCATGCTCTTGATCTTGGTCCTTTGGTGCTGTGATGAACAGATAGCACAACTCCCTTGGGATATTTGAGAGTTAGCTGTACTTCCTACGCCACATTAGTCTGTGTGCTGCTGGATTCCTCCAACATGTAAGTGCCCAATGCAGACTTTTGGTCCGTTGGGTTGGTGTTGTATTCCCAGTGCCTGTCACTTAGTAGGGTGTCAGCAAATGAACCTGTGTAAGACTGTGAACAGGGTAATGTGATAGAGAGCATGGGAGAGAGAAATGGAGCAGTCAGTCATCCTCAGGAGGTGAGGCAGGAAAGATGGGGAGGGCCCAGTGCTGTCTCCAGTGCCTACTGAGCACAAGGTCTGTAACAGCCTTCTCATTTGGCTTTGCAGTCCCAGGAGGGGAAGTTCTAGATAAAGCTCAGAAGTGTGAAATAACTGGACAGGTAATAAATGGTAGAGCCTGGATTCACTCCAGGAATCTCCAACTCCAAATCCCATGTGTTAGTCTGAGCAGAATGCGTAGACTAAGTGAAGTGTACAAGTTGAGGGGAAAGCACAAGCAAGGAAGCTGTGGTTGGGAGGGAAGCCCCTTGGGATGGTGGCTCTAGATAATTGTTTGCTGGTATGGATAAAAGAGAGAAGTCTTTGAGGTCTCAGTGGGCAAGGAATTTGTCATCAAGGGCACTGAAATTGCCAAGGAAGCAACTGGGAGGAGGGGAAGACATTCTGCAAGTGCAGAAACCATCTTGTGAGTCGTGAGCCAGAGCAAGGCCTGTAAGAAATGGATAATAGCTGGAGAAGTCTCAGCAAATGGCACACCAGACTGCATGGCCAGCGTCAGAAGCAGCAGTTGTTCAGAGGCCCAGGATGTAAAGAACAGCATTCCTTGCAGAGAGGAAGGCAGACGGGAGGGCCACAGAGCAAGAGGGGCAGGGGAGACACACAGATAGATTCCCATTTTCGTAAACACATGCCCCAAGCACATACCCCTACGCATCCTCCAGCCAAATCCCAGCACTCCTCTGGAATGTCCTTGGCTGAAGACATAACAGCTGCTGTGTTGGCCTCCCTTCCCATGTGCCCTCCCTGCCCTAGTAGCTTCTCCCAGGCCTCCTCAGCTTTCCTCCACTTCCCCAAAGCAAACCTAGGGCTCTGCCCCAGCCACTCAAGCCTTGCCCTGGCCATGGACTCTGGCCCTCAGTGCTGGTTCAGGTCTGAATGTCGGCCATGTCTCCCATAGGAATTGGAAAACTACCCCAATTCCCCTTGGCCCAAGGGCTTTCTGTCTCTGCACCTGACTTGCCCTGGTAGCATCTCTTCTGTCTTTCTGTGCCACTTCCCCTTAGTCTCTCCTTACCCTCTTTCAGTGCACATACAGAACTTCTTTTTGTCTCTGTGACATCTTTCTGTGGGAATGCCTGAAGTTCTACTTCTGTGGCTTTTCGATGTCATCCCTGAGGGCAAGAGTGTTAAGAGCTGGTGTGAGAGATGAGTAGTTTTGTTTTGTTTTGTTTTTGTTTTTTAATGTTTGATTCTCAAGATTGCGTGGGCACTAGGATATGTCCCAGGTACAGTGTAGCTCTTATGTGGGTGTCCTTACAACACCAGGTGTTTGGGTGTATGTAGGCATGAGATTTTATTAGACTGACCTAGCACTAACTATGGTCACTTGGTCACTACTGCCAACCAGAAAGAAAGAGGGAGGGAGAGAGAAAGGGAATCATTTCCTTTATTTGGGTTGAAATCATGCTGACATAATATAAACATAACTTGGGAGAGCGCCCTATCCAGCATACATGGTCTGCTCAGCATTTGTGAGGGCCAAATAGGCACTTTGGAAGAATTCTGACCAAACTTTTACATTCCCCAGCCACGTTCGTCCCTGCTCATGCCTCTGCCTGTCTCTACCTTGACTCTGGCTAATCCCAGAGAATGCTGCTGCTGCATTGGGGTGCCCTTCCTACTGTGCATCAGCTCACCCCTCACCCCAAGTGTAACCAAGCCCATAAGAATGAGGCCTTCCCCCATATTGCTCTGGCACCCTAATTTCAGGGCCTTGTTCAGTGCTCCTGGGTCCATTAGAGTCTTTTCTCCCAGAACTGCCTTCCTGGCAGTTGGGGGTGTCAGTCTAGTTTGCACCCGCAAAGGATCCCTGATGCATGTCTGGATAGCAGTGGCCCTGTGAGAGCATACCCAGGTTCTTGAGGGTCCTGTGTGAGCAGGAGCTTGACTGGCAGTCCTAAGCAGAGGTGCTGCTGAAGAGGGGAACACAGCCCAGCCAGAAGCACTCGTTGGCACCTTGTTCACTTCCAGAACCAAATGGGCCTTACCCCCAACCTGACTGCTTCTCCTGAGAAGCATTTGTCTCTGCAGCTGTCTGTGTAAGTTGAGTTGTTGCTTGCAGATAACATGACTCTACCCTGTTACCGTGCCTTGTCAGGAAAAGTCAGCAAAGGGGAGAGACAAGTCCAGAAGCCCCTGGACTGGGTGGGTCAGGAAAGCCCCCTGAAGAAGATGTAGGGGCTGAAAGGAGCCTAGGTATGACCTCTCTTGTTTCTGCCCATGCTGCCACAGGTTAGTGGAGGAGCCGGACCCAGAGGAAGCTCTGGTGAGTATACTGTGGTTTCCCCACTCCCCACACTCCTCTCGCTTCTTACTTAGCGTGCTCATTTCCCCTTCCCTTTGTTTAGTCACAGGTCCCGAGCCAGAGCAATCCTAACAGGCTGATTTACAATTAGAATTTTCTTTCTTTTCTGGCGGTACTGGGGTTTGAACTCAGGGGCCTCCCACTTGTGCCCCAACCCTGCCACTGAGCCTGCTTTGCTGTTACCAGGCTGTAGCCTATCTTATACTGCATGTCCCTGGGCTGGCCCTAAGGCATGGCCCAGTTTCACTGACACACCACTGGCGAAGCAGGTGGCAGAGGGCCAGCCGAGAGTGACCACCTCCCGGGGCTGCCTCTGCCTCCTGTGCTCCTATTCCCCACTGCCACTTGTCACCCCACAGCCAGAGTATCCCAGAATCTTGTTACCCTGCACTGTCTGGTGCTGTAGCCCCTGACCCATATACATGGAGCCATAAAGGATCACACAGATGACAAAGTAGACCAGTGTCCTGACTGAAATTCCCCTAAAGAACAGAGGCCCCCACAGGCTGTGCCCACTGCCTGGGGAATGAGTCTGGCCCATTTTCCCATCTTGAAACCTCAGCTCATTCTGTTCCCAGCTCCAAGATACTGCAACTCCTGGTTCCACTCTAGAAGGAGGGGAGTGACGGACAGCCAGTCAGTTCAGGGGCACAGTCCCTTCAAGTGGAGCAGCCATGAGACTGACCTTTACTTGTAGATCTTTTCTGTCTTCCCACCCCTCCATCTTATTTGTAAAAATTAGGCATCGCCTTCAGTTGCAGATCTCCAGGGCAGAAAAGCCAAGGCCACAGCCCCTACAATCCAAAAAGGCACTTTCTCAGACCCTTCCAAGCCATCCTGGAACTGCCTCCGGGCATTCCAACCTCTCCCTCCTGTCTGTGCCAGGCCCTCCCTGCGCCCCCTGCTCTCCCCTGCAATGGCAGCCTCACATTAAGTGGGCAGCACCAGGCTGCACAGGCTCATGTGCAGACTGACGAGCACAGCCGCGGGGCTCAGGGTGAGGCTTCTCCCTTGATGCTGTGCACATGCAGGTGAGGCCCTTCCTGCAGCAAGCCTGGGCTGCCCAGCCAGCTGAGGAAGTCAGGAACTGACTTGCCTGCCTGCAGAGCCTGCCCAGGTCCTTCTGTCCCCAGGGCAAAGGGATGGATGGGGTGGAAGGGAGGTGTGTGAGCGCCACCTGGCCTGCCCCTCTTGGTGCACATAAGGAAACCAAGGCCCACATCCAGGAGCTTGGTGCCAGAGCTGAAATCAGAGCCGGGTCGTGTGCCTCTGACTCCAGTCCTCTTTGACTGGAGTTGGGAGAGTCCAACAGAGTTATAGGAAAAGCAAAAGACTCAGTTCCATGCCTTCTCCAGCCCGCCTCCGGATTCACATGCACTTCTGCATCCTCTGTGCCCTTCTCCCCCACAGTTCTTCCCCAGAAACCACCCTATCCAAACCTGGCATTGTGAGCCCAGTTCTTTCTTCTGTGGAAGTACTTCCTGACCCCATGACATCAGCAATGACTGCTGAAGACTCCTGGCCCCATCAGAAGACAGCTCCTTCACCCCGTCTTTGAAAGCTGAGTCCCTCCCTGTTGACCTAACGGTCCTGCATCTGTTTAGCAGCCTCCCTGTGAGCCCACAGCATGCCGGTGACTAACGGTGAGTCTGTCTTGTGCAGGCACAGAGGACAAGGAGCAAGCTGGCACCAACAAGACGAAGGGAAGGTCTTCCCCCAGAGGCACATTCCTATCCATCTTTCTGCTGCACACCTGGACTGGGCTTGCAGGCTGCCAGACGTCACTCCACCAACAGGGAGAGGGGAGCCAAGCGGTGGGAAGTGGAGGGGGAGCTGCAAGAAGCAGCAGCTGGTGGGCCTTCCCCTGCATAGCCTTGCATGTACTAGCGGCTTCATTCCTCCCCTCAGGGCATGGTCTCATCTCTGCATCAGGAATTTACCAGGAGGTTGAAAAGAGAAAAGAAAAAGCGCTAAGCCCTTGTGTGTTTATGACCTGATGGATCTGGCGCCTGGCCAGCACGCGATGCGCTCCTTAGTGTGGGGGGGCACAAGTTTCCTCCCTACCTTTGACCTTTAAAAACCAACAGGTCTTCTTCCGCCTGTGCAAAGAAAGCATCAGGCCTTGCTCAGTTCTACAGACATTCACACCCCAGCCACAGTGCTAAAAATAGCCTCCTTCCTTTCTGATGAGGCCTCCGCCAGCACGCGGTGCAATGCTGCTGCTCTGCGGCCAGGAGGGGGCAGCGGCACGCCGAGCGCCGAGCTGGGGGCGGCCGCCAGGGGGCGCACAGCCTGGGCGCTGCTCATGCAGTCTCCCCTTGGGGGTCCCATGCAGTCCGGGCTCACGTGATCATCAAGTCCAATTCATGGTGATTTTCATTTATTTTTTTTTTCTGTTCCCTGTGCTCCAGGATGTTATTTTTAGTAGAAGAGCAGCTATAAATATTTATAAAGGGCAGTGACTGGAATGAAGTGAGAGGCCCCACAGCTGTCTCAGTGGCATTTCCCCCTTCCACCTCTGCAGACCCCTGCCCCTGGCTTTGAGGTGCCATGGCCTCCACACATGGCCACACATGAATGGAACCCCATGAAAGCCTCCCAGAGCAGCAGTCAGGGTAGAACCAAGGATAGAACAACTCCTCCCCTTTCCACCTACCTGTCTCTTTTCTCTACTCCCACCTCTAATGGAGGGCAAGGCTGGAGTTGTGACCTGCCATTTGCCCTGCTGGGCCCAGGTCCTAGGTCCTAGGTCTGAGGAGGAGGTGCACTGTGGAAGGCTATGCTGTGAGAACAAGGAGGAAAATGGGAGACGGGCTGGCTTCTGCTCAGATGTGACAAGAGCACTGACCCTCTAAGCCTCAGGAGAAAGCCCTGCCTCACCCACACCTGTTGAGCTCGTGGAGCTGAGGATCTGGAGAGCCAGTAGCAGCTTGGGCAAAGAGAAACAACAGAGAAAAGTGTTCCCACACACTCAGGAAAAAGGGTCCTGGCTTGCCTGGAGGGCCAGAGAGGGACAAAGGTAAGCACAGCCATATGGAAATTCCTGGGGACACTCAGTGCCCTTCACTGGTGGGACTCAGTATGAGGGGCTGAAGCCTTGGTGATGGCACTGTTGGGTAATTTGCAACCCCCCACCCCATGATCCTGAGTCCTCATACTCTGTACCCTTCCCCTGAGGACAGGGTGGGCCCCCACCCTAGTTCCTTATGTCGATGCTTGCTTCTTACTGTGCAGCAAGAGTCAAAGAAACAGACTGACTCAAAGCACTAGGCCGGCTGAGGTGTGTGCTGTGTGTGGACAGCATCCCTGGGCCTCTGCTTTGTGCTCTGCCTGCCTTGGGGAGGAGTGGCATTGAGCTCACCTAGGGAAGGGATAAGGGTGGTGAGAGCTGCAGGGATGGCAGGTGCCAGCACTTGGGACGCAGTGCTTTCTTTAGAGCTAGAATGTCTATTATTTTCTAAGGCCCCTGAGGTGCCTTGTGACTTCTTAGCATCTGCTTTCAGACCAAGATCCTTATCAGAAGTTTGAGGCTGGGCCCCTTTCCTCACCCTGACCTGGAATACTGGAGGTCATTCTGTGGCAGGTACTTTCTTCTTAATTGCTTTGTGGACATAGGAGCCTACTTGACCCTGGGTAGATGATCTGAGAGTCATGCACTGGCAGCACCCCTTGCCCCTGGCCCCAGGGCAGTCCTGGCCCTGTAGTGCCCTGACCTAAGTCACTGCTGTATCATGGCTGTGAAGACTCCTGAGAGGAGCCAGATGCATCCTGGGTCTCAAGCTAGAGCCCCCAAGCTCTGATCCACAAGACCCAGCCATCCAGCACTTCCATTATCCTCCCAGCCCCCCTCATTAGCCCCTGGCAGACTCTCCTCATGGCTTGCTCCCTGCTCGGGGTGCCCGCCAGCTCAGAATGGTACAGTTGCCATGGCAATGGCTAGAGCCATCCAAATTTCTGCTGCACTTTCCAGAAGAAGGGCTCATGAAGAGCTTCATGGTGGTTTCCAAGTCTGACCTCAGCTCTGACTCTTGGGGATCAGGTGCTTGGTTGGGGCTGGAGTGTGGGAGAAGCTGTAGAGCTTGGGAAGATGCTGGATAGATGCTATCACATGCTGCTAGCCAGGTCTCTGTGTGTGAATCAGAAAACAAATGAGGCTTCCGACCTCACTCTGTCTGTGGTTCTCAGACTTAAACTGCATCAGAGTTGTGTGGAGGTCCAGGTCAGACCTCCAGAGGTTCTGATTCAGTAGCACTGGGCTGGAGCCAGGGAGTTTGCTGCACTAGCCAGCTCCCAGGTGCTCTGGGTGCTGCCGAGCTGGAGACCACACTGGAAGAACCACTGCACTCTGCTTTTACAAGGAAGGAAAAAAATCACATCCATCCAAGATGCCATCGCCAGTCAGGCAGAAAAAGACCAGTCAGTTGTCTGTCCTAGAGGAAGAAAAACTATTTCTTGGCTGGAGGTTCTGGGGAACAGGTACTAGAACTGGTGGCCCCTAGATTGAGTTTCTTTTTGGTTTCTAACAATCAATAAACAAAGACCTCAGGTTGCTTCTCGGCCTTTTGACTAAGATCAAGTGTAACAAAGACCTCAGACGTGGTGCTGGTGAGGGCAGCATGAAGTCAAGTTCATTAAGTTATAGAGCCCAGCCTCACAGATCCCAGTGGCTGGGTCTCCAGTCTCAGTGGGGCACTCTAATGGCCAGCCCGTCTCAGGAGGAGTGACAGGCAAGGGGGTGTTACAGGCACCTAACCCCACATGGGCGTTTACTCTGAGATGCTTTCCCCAGAACACAGATCCCATCTTCCACACTAAGCAACACTCAGACTCCACCTGCTGTAGGCGTCATTCTGAGAGACATGATTGCTAAAGTTCCTACCTGCTTAGGAGTAGCAGGTCCAGGGGACTACGCCTTCTCTGCACACTTGGCCCAGCCCGGGGAAGCAGGTCTCTGTGGCTGGTGATCTTGGGAGTCTCCCCTGCATAGGTGTGTCTGTGAACAGGTGCCATCTCCCTGCCTTCTGCTCCAAGGGAAGACAGCAAGGGGTAGGACCGTAGTGTAAAAGAAATGGGCCTAAATTTGTTTGCCAGTTCTAGAAAACAGTATTAGCTCCCCAGTTCTGTAAAGGTAGGGATGGGTGGTGAGTGCTTTCATTTTGAAAATCTGGGAGGCCATGGAAAGAAACAGGATTTACCAGGGTCTGGGAGAGCCTTTGAAGAGGCCAACGCCAGTCAGCATCCTCAGATGTCTGAAATGCTGGGCCTTTCACTGCTGTCATCCATTCTAGAATATACCCAGCAAGTGCCAAGGGCACAAGCCTATCCTCAGGCCTCAGCAATCCCAGGGCCTAAGGTTAAGGTTGAGGCCTGGTCTGAGTTTGTAACTGGGAGTGAGGGGGGGGCTTGGAGGGGCTGGACACCCTCTGACCAGGGACTCAGTGCAAAGTGAGCCACTCGAGGGAGGAGAATGATGTGGTCACTGCTCAGTTGGTTCTGGCCACAAGTGTTGGTCTTTGGGCTTAGGAGTGGGAGAAGAGACTGGGCAGAGTGGAGCCCTGAGAGATTCATGTGTGGCTAACAGACTGAACCTTGACTCTGCTAACTAATAAGGAGCTAATTATCATTCATAATGGAATTCACCATAGCCAGAACCCACTTCTGCCCAGCAAGAGTCCTGAGCCAGGTAACAGGAACCCCTGCCCCTGCCCCAGTGTCGGCCTCCAGACATGGCCACACTCCCAGTTAGACTGCATAGGCCTGAGGCTTGTGGGAAGGTGGCAGGGCAGGTGCATCCCATGCAGTGTTAGTGAGGGGTGCAGCAAGGCCAGCACCCAGTGCACCTGTGTGTACCTGCACACGCCCCATGGAGTCCTCTGCCTTGAGTGGTTTAGGCTGCAGGTGTAGTTTTCCTGAGGAGAGCAAAGTTTAAGGCTCAGCCTCTGGCTTGGGATTAGGTGCAGTATCTACCCGACTAGGCCTGAAGGTCCCCTGTCCACCCTGGGGCTCTCACTCAGGTTCTCGCTTAACAGCCATGCAGTCTGTACCACCATGGCCTGGTCTCAGGACTTTTGTCAGTCTCTCCCTTCCCAACAGAAAAGGTGACCTTGCATACCAGGCATTGTCCCTAATGAGGCAGAATTGATCTGAGTCCTGTGTCTAAAGCCACGAGGAGTCCTCTCTATAGCAACCCAAATCCCAGGCCTGACCTCTTAGGGCCTGGGCCCTATGCTTCACCCAGAGTGGTAAGGCTCCTCCTCCCTTCAGAAGACTGGGTGGCCCTTGGGTATGATGAGTCTTGTCATGCCTCCTGGCTCTCAAATAGGAAATCTGGGTGCGGAGCTCCTCGTTGGCCCCTGGCCTTCCTAGCATTGCCTCTTTGGGGCTCCCTAGTGCTGTGGTCTTTTGGAAGAAAGTGCTTCGTAGTGCTGAGGAAGACACCACAGCGAGGGGCAGAGTGACAGGAGCAGCTCTGGACCAGGGATAACCAGGCACCGACACTGGCTGTGAGGGAGCCTGGTGGGATACCACACCCTCTTCTGTGGCTCCTTCCTTTGCCCTTGGCCGCTGGATGGTTTGTCCTACTTTCTTCATCGCCTAGGCAACCATCCTGGGTTCACTCTTCACCACCAGGCCCACCCTGGGAGTCCAGGGGTGGAGGAGGGGGACTGAGGACTGCAGAAAACAGCAGGGTGGTATGAAGAGCCAAGGGACAGTGAAAGGAAGAGAGAACAGGAAGAGTGGGGCTGCAGGCGAGGGAGATGTTTGACACCTGGGATGAGGTAGACTAAATCATTGGTGTGAGAACTGGAAAGTCCAGTCGGGAAGCAAGGCTGGCTGGAGGCAGAGTTGGGCAGTTCCCTCAGCCTGTATCCTGAGCTCAGGGTGATTTGTTCCTTTGTCGTGTGACTGCTGCAGCTTTTAGGTCTGGATTTGAGCCTAATTAGGAGATCCACACTTTCCACCAGGAGCTCCCCAG